ATATATATTTATGTCTACTTGACAGAGGGATAAATAACACCTCTTCTGTTCGGTCAGTAATCTAAGCTATGCATGTGTCTTCAGCTACCTTGTCTTCACAGGCCTCATCCAGGATGTCCAGAGCCTCCATGGACACAGCCTTGCTGTGGTCGTGAAGCTGTGTGACCAGAAGCTCCATGCCCCAACTACTGAAGAACTCCACACCGGCACGCAGCAGCACACGGAGGTGCTTGGTGGCGTACAGCCTGCAGACCTGCTCAGCAAGACAAGTATCACAGCACCTTTCTGTAACTCAGTGACTCTCAGACTACTGAGGGATTTTTGCAGTTGTGTGATTTATAATTTATATGTTTATTGGTGCTGCAGTGTGAGGTCATATTAAACACACATAAAGAAATCCTGTTTCCCCATTATGATTTCATGCATTTTATGTGTGGTGAGTGTTTCTGCTGTCTTACATCAGTGGCAGCAGTGAGGACCTTTGACAGGATCACCCTGGCCAGACCGTCTCTGCTGTAGTCCAGAGTGGACACGGCCAGTTTCAGCACGGCGTCCTGGTTCTTCACAGAGCACAAGTTCAGCAGGCTGCAAACACCAAATCGAAGGCAGACGTTGCATTGAGTCGTCAGCAGCAGATCTTTTTAAACGGAGGAATGCATCTGACGTTCTGAGACAGAACACCTCAGGAACGCAGCTCACTCACCACTGAAACAGGCCACATTTCTCCAGCAGTTTGACCCCCTGTGGGTGTGCAGAAAGTGTCCCCAGGAAGAGGAAATAGTGCTGGCTGAGTGTGGTGAGCAGGCCGTTGCTCTGCAGGCTGCGCTCGGGCTTCAGGCCCGAGCACGAGGACAGCCACGACACCATGTCCCTCACAAGCTCCTCCAGATAGCCCTGACCGTCCTGGTGACAGCAAGACAAGACACGGGGTGGACATGAGAGGACAGTTGGACAAGATCGAACTGTGCGCATTTGTGCAAGCTTTTTGTACCTCGTCAGAGTCCACGAGGAACTCCATGAACTGACACCCAACCACGGTGAGTTGCCTGGCCTTGGCGTGATCCAAAGCCAGCCCAGCATACAGTTTACTACTGGGCTTATAGAAGTACAGCAGCCTCCGAACAAACCTGTGTTACACAGAAATCAATATCAATCTGACACCAGGTATCACAGAAACACATCAAACTGTTTAAAAACACTCCAAATCTGATCTCACCTGTGCATCTGTTCATCTTTGTTGTTCCTGAGGTTCACATTTGGCCACTGAGAGAAAAACAAAGACCATCTTTAAGACAGAGGAACAAATCTGAGTTTGTGTTGCAGCAGGAGAACAGCCTGACCTTAAGAATGGTGGCAATCAGTAACCAGTTCCACTCCAGGTTCTGCTTGTGGTTGAGAATTTGACTGTCTCTCAGGTTTATCATCAGTGTTTCTTCTGTGTCCTGAAAAAACAGGAACAAACATTTATTTCACAAAAAAATAAAGTGGACAGAGAACAGAAAGCAGCACTATACAAAAGCTTGTTCGTCTCCACCTTTATGACGTAGATGTCTCTTTGGGCACGCGAGTGTGATTCTCTGCGGTTGTGTGACGACACAGACTTGCGAATGATGTGGTCCAAGTAAAGGCTGTGTGGCTTCAAACCTTTCTTCTTCTTCTCGTGGAAACGCTTCAGGTTGTTCACGGCTGCACTTGCACGGCTGGAAAATACACACACATGTTCAGATAAGCAATCAATATTTTTTAGGAAAATAAAGTTTTAAACAAATTCATTTAGTCTTATTGAGCTAACAATAATAAATTTACTGACCCAACATAATGTTAAACAGGTCAGCGTGAGGAACTTAGTTGACAATTTTTTATTTTACTGTGCTTACACTTCCATTTTTTCCCTCAACTTAATTTGAGTTATTTTATTCATTCAGGCTAAATATTATGTAACAAGTTCAGAAAATACTTGGACGAAGAAGTACTTTGTCCATCTTTATGAACATGGATGAGTAAAACAAACTTGTACATTTCCAATGTTTATTTTTTATCTAAAAGGGAAAATATAGTAACAACATTTTTATGTACTTCACAGCTTATATTTGAGTCCTTAAAGTCAAAATCAGGTCAAAAAGCTATTTTAAAAAAACATGGCTACTCTATAGTTTACCTTAAAGTGCCTGTGATATCAAATTTTTAGAATAAACGTGAATGCATTTGTGGAAAGATAACATTGATAACATATTGTAAAAAAAAAATCATACTGCTGAGATGAACAGTTGTTGAGATATTTGCATGTGAAGCAACAGGAAGTGATGTCAAAGGGGTATTTCTGCAAGTGAACAGAGCATTGTTGCAACAGCTAACAACGTGGACAGTAGAGAAGAATCTGATGTTTCTTTAGATTATTTTAAGTCACTATCAGAGAGATGAAGAGTCAGAGATCAAATTAGGACTGGGCGGTATGACCTCAAATTCATATCACGGTATAAACTGTACCCCTTCACAGTAATGCTATATAACGCGGTAGAAAATTATCATAAAAAGTAAAGACAATGTAATTTTTAGAAGCATTTTTTTGCAGAGAACTGTAATCTTAATTAAACACAGCATTTTTGCTTTAATATCTGCCTGCCAAACAATGAGCTTCTGCCTGCTATCAGCTGCTGCTCTGCTGCACGCTCAACTTTATCATCTTCATCATCAGAGCAGAAGCCGACTTTACATTAGCTAGATGGATTTATGGCTGAATGAACGTCCACGTCTTGTTTTTTCTTTGACAATTGGGTGTGGAAAAACTACAGTTGTTAAATCTTTGCTCTGCGCGACGTGTAGCAAGAGGAGAGGAGAGGAGAGGAGAGGGAGAGTTTATGATCCCGCGACACGACGTAACGTTTCTACAGCAGGAGGAGGATATTTTGAGGATTTATCCTCTCTATATGTGTTTTAAAACGCTAGAATTTCTTCATTATATTTCGAACTCCTGCTCAGTTGCCTCTGCACTTGCAGCCCTGTTCACACAGGTGCGATGACGTAATGACGATATGACGGTAGAGCGTAAATTTCTACCGTAGGACAACTTCATACCGTTTCTACCGTCTACCGCATATACCGTGCAGCCCTAGTTCAAATAATACTGTTTCAATAAACAGAGACTGGAGTTCCCTTTAAAGAGTTCCCAATTGATGTCACTTCCTGTTTCACTGTGGCTGAGCCAAGTTCAAAAGGAAATTTGACAGTTATGTGACAAAATTGATAAAATCATGTGTATTATGTCAAGTCTTTTAAATATAAAGATGTTTTATTGGACTTTTTGTATTTGAAGGATATACATGTCACAGGTACTTTAAGGTTTTCCGACTTTGAAAATGTCTTATTCTGTCAGAAATACTTATTTGCAGTTTAGGGATGATAAAATCCAGCTTCCTAATCTCCATCTTCTCCAAAGACTATCTTTACAAAGGTCGGCTTCTGGAAGCGAGTAGGTTTTTTTTAAGCGAGTGGTTGAAGCAAAACGCAGTGTTCGAGCGCTTTCAGCTGAAACAAACACTCTGATGAACTTCTGACCAATCACACAATAAGTTCTTATGTGGAGGGGGGTAAATAGTTTGGCCAGGTTGCAACAACGTTGACAATGCGAACACAATCAAATGACAATTTTCATCATGAAACTGCAACAGTCCGATCTGATTTCAGCAGTTTGGATGAAGAACGCTGAGCGCTTTAGTCAAAACGAGTTCAAACTTGTTTTGCTTTTTTTGCTTTGCAGCAAAACTGCAAAAATAACACCAGAGGTTATATTTTTTTATACTTTAGAAAAACAAGTCAGTCTGAAATACTCTTTAGGAAGACAATTAAAATGTATATTTTCTTTTTTCATTATTATTTATCATTAACAGAAGCCGAGATAACAAATACCAGTTGATGTGGTTTAAAATGAATCCACATAAGGAAAATCTCTTAACATGAGCCTCTTCAAGCACAAGTGAACTGAGAGTGAAGGTCGAGGTTTACAATTTCAAAAACACATCCTGCAGGGAAGAAAGCAGGAGCGGATCAAGTGTCCTATAGCGCCCCATAAAATCAGCAACAACAACAAAACCTTTAGACAAAATGTATAACAGAGATTTGAAACTGTAATCCTGTCATCATCCTGTGAAAACAGAGCATTTTTTATTTCAACTCAGACAAATTTCAATTAACTTTCAACTGCATAAAAATAAAAGTGAAAACTTTGTTTTGTGTCCAAATATATCTAGGTCTCAATCTGTTTGTGGTAATGATCGCTTGTTTTATTTGTTGAGGAAAAAACTAATTGTGTGAACGTTTCACAGCATTTACACTACTGAGATCATTTTTTTCTTCAGTACGTTTTTCAGCATCTAACTCCTTCCACAATTTTTGTGCTATTTCAACAATTCATATACCAAAACATTCAGCTCATTCATGTGAGGGGTGCTATGACTTTTGGTATTTCAGATTTTTTCAAACTTTTTTAGCCACTTTTTTTCCATTGAAAACGAATGGAGCTGTTTTCAACATCCTTAAAATCCTTCAAAATCTTTACAAAACCTTACAGAATTTATTCTGATTCTGCTCTTTTTTCACTTTCTTGTGCTAATTTTAGCTATTTTTTTGCTGATTTTAGTTTTCCTGATATTTCAGTTGAAATTCTGCTTCTTTCAGCGATTTTTCAGCCTTTTTCTACGTTTTTGTGCTTTTTTCCGCTACTTTGTGCTATTTATGCTTCTTACAGACGCTTTTTGCTATATTCCACTATTTGCTGAAATTTTAGCAATTGTTTAGCTGCTACTAACCAAAGTTAGCTTTTCTAAGCTAAACACACATTTTGTAGCTATTACAACTTTTCAGACAAGTTCAAGCTACGTTTTAGTTGTTTTACTGAAAATTTCAGCTGTTTTAGCCATTTTAGCCTACAAATTATCACTTTTTTGTACTTTTGCATTTTTTCTGCTAGTTTTACAAATTTTTACAAGACTTTCTCTATCTGGGTGCTAATTTCAACTTGTGCCTGCTACCTTTAGCCTATTTTATGCTAATTTTAGCTATTATATGCTACTTTAGCTATAGATCTGCTTCTTTCTGCTATTCTACCTTTTTTTTGCTACCTGGTGGTATTTAAGCTTCTTACAGATATTTTTAGCTATATTCAACTATTTTTAGCTCTAAGCTTTTAGCTGTTGTCAACTTTGTGTTCCTTTTTACTGTTTTTCTACAAAGTCAGGTGTTTTTGCTTCTTTCAGCTTTTCATAGTAAAGTGTTAATATAATGTATTAAAACTTTACTATTAAATATTTTCAGCTCAATTTGAGCAGCTTTCAGCTTAAGTTTTCAGCACGAAGCTTTCACACTGGCATTTTCGCAGGAAATGCAATTTCTCTAATTGTACTTACAGTCGTTTCTCTGGGAGGATGTCAAATGAGGCTGCCATGTTGATGAGGGTGGGGAGGCAGTGCAGGTGGTGGCTGTGGGAATGAGGAAGAATGGTGTTTGCCTAAACAAAGAAACAAACAAACAAAAAGTCTATAATTACAATCATTAACAACTATCAAACAATCTTTTCTTGTTCTGTGTGAACTTTACAGTTAAATATGAGAATAAATTGATGTTACCATGTGTAGAAGCTCTCCTAACAGTATAGTGGCTCTGATAGCAAGCTGGTCATCATTGCTGGTCACAACTTCAACAAGACCCTAGACAGAGGAGAGGAAGACGAGCTTCAACAGATGCACCGGCACCTTTAAACTGCTCTCTCACAAAGCTGTGATAGTCCCGAACCATTCAAGCTGTGCTGGCTTCATAGCACGTCTCAGCTATTTACAATTTAGCTTTATGACTCTATAAACGAGTCGTAAACAAAGACCATACAACTCACCTCTAACAGCCCGCTGGTGATGAAGGCAGACAGCACAAAAGCCAGGTAGTTGTCCATCAGGTCAGGCCTAACGACGCAAACAGAAGTACAAATATTTCACATCTCATGTAGCCACAGAGCTGACATCAGCCTACTTCTGCTCATTTCTCACCTGGAGCGGGCCCGGTGGGGTAGGACGACTTTAGCTTCAGCAGCAATAAACCCATCAGAGAGTCTCCAGGTGTCCTGAAACCTGGCGGGATCTGAAGTGGACCACAGCTAAGATTAGCCTTCACTGTGCGTGTAACACATGGCCTTTATTAGGCTCCAACAGGAACAAAGACATTTTGAGTACAAAGTACACAAAGTGACTAAATGGTCTTTACCGGTTTTTACTTTAATGAAACTAAATAGACTTAGTACAAAGATAATCAAAGCAAATACACAAATATATCTGGTCCTTACCAACACTTTGAAGAGCTTCTACAAAGTCTTGGGTTACAATTGGAACAGGAAGCCTGAAAATCTCATACAACACCTCCAACAAACCTTTCTGCAGAGGGAAGCACATTAAAGACATGTTTGATAGACCAGGCTGCACTGAAGGTGGAGATCACCTCTAACATCAGACTGTTCTCAGCTGGATCTTTGAAGCCCATTAGTCTGTGACGGGATGAAAGTATCTCTGACACAAAGAATTCAACAATAATGGAGACTTGCTTATTGCAGATTAATTTAAAAACCACAGGGCACTTTTTAATTACTCTTACGAACGTTTCGTTCAGTTAAACATTGATTATAAAATGTTTCAATACTCACTCTAACTTCCATATTTGGTATGCAGAGTAAGCCAATTAGAGATTGGATTCCAGAGTTTCCAGGCTTGCATAGGTTGATAATTCCTGAATTAAAAAAAAGATGCCCCATAAGAGAAACATTTAACTCATTATGAGATATTGATGAAATATTTGATATTTGACAATAATATACTGTATATTGATATTGAATTATCCAGCACTATGTATTGGATAAGTCAGCATAAGTTGTTGTTGCATGATGTTATAGTGTGACAAGGCTTTTTGTGTTTAAGGAATGTGTTGGAGACAACCCTCAGCTACCTTCAGACCAAATTTAAGCTCAAAATCTGTTAAAGGGATCCCAGATTAGTTGTAACATTAGACTTTATTTGATAAACATTTATTTTAACTGTAAAA